ACTCTTTCCTCCCCTCTTTTAAGTGTTAAAGCCCATTCATTCTTCAGATAGCTACACCTGCCTTCCTGACCAAGTTAAATTGTCTATCATGTGAGCTCTCAGTCCCAATATTTCTCCATCATGGTTCTATCACAACTGCAAAGTTGTATTCATCTGGGGACTGGACAATTACATTCCATCTTTCCCAGGAGATGTTAATCTCTAGATGGAGGGGACCCTGCGCACTTCTGCTCCTCACTCTACCCCCCCTGGCCGAGCACAAAGACAGCCCTTAGAGGCACTCAGCCCATACGTGCTGGCTGCCTGGACAAATGACCAACAAGAGGCATTTGTTTCAAATCACATTTTTCAGTCAGGTTTCTAAATATATTTTAAAATGACTAGTTAATATTCACCTCCAGCAAATACTTTTAGGGTCAGTAGACTATTGAAAAGCAAAGTTAGAGAATATAAAACTTAGCCACAAAAATACGTTGCTTAAAAACAAATCAAGGATATACTTAATATTAATGAACAGTACATGTAAAAATGACTGATGCAAACTTAATGTTATATGTTTCTTTACAATTAAAAAAAAAGTATATCTCAAAATAAGACAAAGAAATCCCAAATCATGTACTGTATATATATTCAGCCAAATTTTTAGATATTGTGATCTAAATTGAATTTACAAAGAGCTTCTGGTGATAGCAGGAGCCTTATGTTATTTCTCTCCATACAGTATCCCAGTTCTTACTCTTCAGTTGATTGTCAGCTAATGTTTACCAAATGTATGAATGATAAATGGCATAAAGAAATAACTGATATGAAGAGATAAGTAAGGACCTTGCTGATTCAATAACTGGAAATCTCAGGCTACTGAGGAACATTCAGGGCAAGAAACAGCAACCTTTATCTTCCTGCCAAACCGCTTACTTTCTTCTCTTTGCACTGATTCTCTGCTTCTGTCAACTGTCAGTGATGTTGATTTTTATAAGCCAGAAGCCAGGGACCATCTTGTGGCTTTTGGTGTAAGGGCCACTGATTTAGATACAGACTATGTTCTTTTTAATAAGAAAAGTTGGAAACCATACCTGAATCTTCAGTTAAATTACTGTTCCTCACAAAGCCATGTTCCCAAGGCATATTGCTAAGTTCCACTTTAATATTTAATTCAATTTATAGAAAAGCCCAACAGGCTGACCTAATATCAAAACAACACCTATTTCAAAAATTATTTAAAAAAAAAAAAAAAAAGAAAACCCTGTTCAAATTCAAACTCAAATCACAATGAGATACCACTTTGCATCCGGTAGGATGGCTACAGTAAAAAAAGACAGTAACAAGTGTTGATGAAGGTGAGGAAGAACTGGAACCCTCGCACGTTGCTGAAGGGAACATAAAATGACACAGCCACTTTGGAAAACAGTTTGGCAGCTCCTCAAAAAGTTAAACCAAAAATAGATACTGATTATCTCAGAACATTTTACTAAATAAACTTCTTCCTCACTGATTGGTTATGTTAATATGTTAAGTCTAAATTTTTTACATTAAATTCTTACACTTACCAATATTTCTGAGTTGCCTATCTATTCTGGCCTACTGGTCAATGACAATCTCGACCTCTCCCCTTTATATTTTACGTGCTTTTTTTGGCCTCACCGTGTGGCTTCCAGGATTAGTTCCCTGACCAGGGATTGAACCTGGGCCACAGCACTGAAAGTGCCAGGTCCTAACCATTGGACAGTCAGGGAATTCCCCCCATCCCAACTTATGTTTTTAAAATAGTGGAACCTTCTTTCTATGTGAAATATTATGAAGAACCGCAATAGAGAGAGAGAGAGAGAGAGAGAGAGAGAGAGAGAGAGAGAGAGAGAGATAAAGGTGGGACTGTGCCAGTTGAATCAGAGAAAGCTTTACCTGGTCTTCCCTTCCCACCTCACCAAAATACCCCATCCCTGCCAACCTTGAAGACAGTCTTGAGCTTACTGGATTTTTCCCATACCTTTTCCTCTTTGTTGGCACAAACCATTTTCATCACACATTTTGTTTTCCTTTTGGTAACTGCATGATACATTGGGGTAAAGCTGGTGGAATAAATCTTCACGTTTTCTTTTCCATATTTATAAATGGCCTCATCTATAATGCACAGGGGGGGGAAAAAAAAGCATCTATCAGAAACTTAAACAATTCCACTGAGCTATCAGAGAGATGGCCAGAAATATATAACCTGAATCAAATTACAAGGAAATATTAAACAAAACCACAATGAGCTGGGGCTTCCCTGGTGGCGCACTGGTTAATAATCCGCCTGCCAATGCAGGGGACACGGGTTCGAGCCCTGGTCCAGGAAGATCCCACATGCCACAGAGCAACTAAGCCCATGCACCACAACTACTGAGCCTGAGCTCTAGAGCCCACGAGCCACAACTACTGAGCCTGTGCACTTAGAGACCATGCTCTGTAATGAGAAGCCTGTGCACCGCAACGAAGAGCAGCCCCCGCTTGCCGCAACTAGAGAAAGCCTGTGTGCAGCAACAAAGACCCAGTGCAGCCAAAAATGAATTCATAAAATATATTTTTAAAAAAAAGAAACCACAATGAGGGACAATCTACAACATAAATGTCAATGTCATGAAAGACAAAAGACAGGCTGAGGAATTCTTTCTCTTGACTAAAGGAGACCAAAGAGGTATCAAAACTAAATATACTACATTATCCTGGAATGAACCCTGGACTTGAAGGGAAAAATGTTAAAAATGAAATTATTTGAGATAACTGGCAAACTTTGAATAAGGTCTAAAGTTTAGATAATATTGTATCCACTTAAATATTCTCATTTGAAGCTATGCTTCTGTAAGGGAACGGCCTTGTTCTTAGGAAACAGATACTGAAGTGTGTGTGCATGTGTATAGAGAGAAAATGATACAGCAAAAGTGTTACCAGTAGACAAGAGTCTTCTGTAGTATTTTTGCAACTCTTCTTTAAATCTGAAATTAGTTCAAGTAAAAAAGCTTAAAAAATCAAACAGATAGGGTTGAGTGGAGAAAGGAATTATACTCTCAAAGTACTAGTAGCTGGGGAGGAAACTGGACCTGTGATGAGAAGTTAGTAGCTAAAAAGAAATATAACTCGGGGGCTAAGATAGATTTAGTCAGCAGACAGACACCTAGTTTAACGTTAGCAGAGGAAGGGAAGAAACCATAAATGACCTTTATTTTTAAACACCTACCTTCTGTGAGTCCCACTGTCCCAATAGGGGGGTGGCTGAAGACCACCGTAGGGACGTTGTCATAGTCTAACTTGGAATCTTCTTTGCATTCAAAAAGTCTATGGGCAAGTTTTCGGCCAGCAGCAATCGCAACTACAAAGATATTTTTAAATCAGTGTTTAGCTTATTGTTCATCTTAACATAGCAGGATTATTCTACTAACCGTTTATCCATCTGGCTTAACATACAAGTTCTGACAAAGTCTTCTGTCAATGCTCATTACAATATCTAGTTCAATATAATAAAAGACCTATCAATACCTTAGCTAACAATTCAAAACTATCGGCTTATGTGAATTCTGTACATTCTATTATGACCAAAAAAAAAAAAAAAAAAAGACACATTTACAAGTTCCCAAACATCTGGCAAGTTACCTCTTAATGCAGATATTAGCTTTTTGATATATTTATGGAGCAAACTACATGAGTTTCGAGCATCCTCAATTCTACTTTATAACCACATTCATTTCACAGGAATATTTTGCTTCTTTTTAAAATTATTTTTATTTGTTATTGATTTTTTTTAAAGTTTATCCTCCTTAGCCTGTTTTTATTCCTAATGGTCAAAAAAAAAAAAACAAAAAACGCCTGAGTTCATTAAAAGCATCAGTTATTAATTTTGTTGACTTCAAAATAAGGTATCAGTAGGATACATAAGAAATTTTTTTCACCTCGACAAAATTTTCAGCTGTTAGATTATGTTATGAAGTTTCTGAAACTTTGCTTGTTAGTTTGCTTTTGTGGAGAGAGTTTCCTAAAAGAGCTAAAAAGCTTTGGGTGTGTGTTTCCATACTGAGTAAGACCCGGGCCATTTTGGAAAAGATGGTGAGGCCCCGGAGGGGTACAGGTGAAAGCAGATGGATGGATACCACCAGCAGACGCAGGACAAAGAGCTTGAAATGACGCCAGTTAACTCATGAAGTAGGCTGAAGTATGGAATTCTGAGGATGGAGATCAGGTTGTATCAAGACTAAACAGTCATACAAGAATACCACTTCCGGGCTTCCCTAGTGGCGCAGTGGTTGAGAGTCCGCCTGCCGATGCAGGGGACATGGGTTCGTGCCCCGGTCCGGAAGATTCCACGTACCGCAAAGCGGCTGGGCCCGTGAGCCATGGCCGCTGAGCTTGCGCGTCCGGAGCCTGTGCTCCGCAACGGGAGAGGCCACAACAGTGAGAGACCCACGTACCGCAAAAAAAAAAAAAAAAGAAAACCACTTCCTTCCACTGTCACCAACACAACTCGGATTCTAATTTACAGCATTCTTCAGAAGATGACTATATCATCTGTATAAAAATTTCAGTCTTCACCAAGCATTTTTAAAATCTTTTAAAGAAAAATAAATACTATTCAAAGCATTTTTAAAGGAAAAAAATATTACTCATAACATGTCAGGCTCCCAACCAACATCTATCTCAACACATTTTAGCATTTTGATGACATAAAGACACTCAGCCTTTTAACTCTGCTTGAGCTTATTTGACTATGAAGAGCTGAACAGTTGTTTTGTTTTTTTGGTTTTTTTGCGGTACGCGGGCCTCTCACTGTTGTGGCCTCTCCCGTTGCGGAGCACAGGCTCTGGATGCGCAGGCTCAGAGGCCATGGCTCACGGGCCCAGCCGCTCCGCGGCATGTGGTATCTTCCCGGACCGGGGCACGAACCCATGTCCCCTGCATCGGCAGGCGGACTCTCAACCACTGCCCCACCAGGGAAGTCCTGAACAGTTTTCTATAACACACAGAGCCTCCCTTAGCCCCCAAAAGAAAAAAACATTACCTGGAGTAAGAAGAGCTTTTCCACACACATCCCCAACTGCGTAGACACCTTTTACATTCGTATTCTGGAATTCATCTACTAGGATATGACCTTTGTCATCAGTTTGAATCCCCTAAAATTGTAAAGGGACATCATGTAAGTATTTGGCCCACCTACAGAAAAATAGCAGCTCACATCTCTGGATCCGCCTCACTTCAGGCACCTCTTCAGCCTGAATCTCCAAGAAACCACAAGAAGAAAAACATCTTAGCAAGCTGGCAGGTTTCATATCTTTTGCTTAATTTAAAAGGTAAATATTTAACTCAGTTTTGAGGAGTTTTAACAGGATTTGTCTTTGCATTGTACGATTCAGCTGGCCAGGCAAGCCTGAAAAGGAATCACTCAACTATCAGACATGGTACTTGGCATCCCCATGGAGTCCACCTAAGACAGTGATTTTCAATTCCTTGGAAGCGCTCCGCCTGAAGCATGCTAACTCATACTTTAGACAGGCACAGCCTGAAGCAGTCATCAAAAGAAGACTTCTTTGAAGTTTACAGTTTTATCTTTAAAAATCCAAGCAGGGCTTCCCTGGTGGCACAGTGGTTAAGAATTTGCCTGCCAATGCAGGGGACACGGGTTCGATCCCTGGTCTGGGAAGATCCCACATGCCGCGGAGCGGCTGGTCCCGTGAGCCATGGCCGCTGGGCCTATGCGTCCGGAGCCTGTGCTCCGCAACGGGAGAGGCCACAACAGTAAGAGGCCCAAGTACCGCAGGAAAAAAAAAAAAAATCCAAGCAAAATTTGTATTCTACTCTAAAAGATATCAGTGTTTCCTTTAACCAAAATTTCTCCCTATACACTGAGTCAAATTTTTGCTCCAAGAATATGTGTCATGCTTATCTTGTGGCTTTGCAGATCCCCAGTGTATATACTCCCATGTGAGGAGAAGGCCAGCAGGCATAGGGAGTAGGTAGTGTAGTAGTTAAGAGTAAAACCTTTGGAGCTGGGAGATCTGGGTTCAAGTCCCAGCTCTGCCACTTACTAGTTATGAGACCACCCATTTATCAACAAACACTTGACCCACACCCCAGGCTACTATACTAGACTGTCCTTCAAAATTTAAAAGAACAAATAAGAATGCTAACTATAGCACTGGTAGATGAGCTTCACATCTGTACCCATCCCCGAGTGCCACAATGTCCATGACGAGTCACACAACCATCCATTAGGATTAGAGCTGCAGACAATAAGAAATAATTATAGGGCTTTAAAGAGACAGGTATCATAGTAAAAAAGAAATTTGTAGGGAGAAGGCTAGTCAGGAAATGGCGAGACGATGACCTGATCTAGGGTGATGACACCAGAAAGGGGAAAAAAAACCTTTATTTCCATTCCAAAGGCAGAAGCAATGGGATTTAATGACAAACTGGACACGTGGAATAAACAGAAAAGAATCCAACAGAACCCACTCAAGTTTTGGGGGGTCTGGGGTTGGATCAGGGGAAATCACAGGACTACTGACCGATTCAAGAAGGTTTTAGGCAAGGAAAGTGGTCAAAAGGTACAAACTTCCAGTTAAAATATAAATAAATACAATACCAGGGATATAACGTCCAACATGGTGACTACAGATAACACTGCTGTTAGGAGAGTAAACCCTGAGTTCTCAACACACAGAGAAAATTTTTTCCTTTTTTCTTTTCTACTTTTATTGTATCTACATGAGAAGATGGATGTTAGCTGATCCTCTTGTGGTGATCATTTCACAATGTATGTAAATCAAACCATGGTGCTGTATGCCCTAAACTTATGCAGTGATGTATGTCAATTATTTCTCAATAAAACTGGGGGAAAAAAAAATAGAACATTGTAGGCAGACTAGGTCAGCTTACCAGTTTGTTTAAATTCAGGCCCCTGGAGTTTGGGTCCCGCCCAATGGCCCAGAGTAGACAGTCAACATCTGGAATGGTGGTCAAGGTGGGTTTCCTACCAGGAATTGAAGTAACCATGCAGAGTTCCAGGCCTGATGAAGTTTTTTTAACTTCCTTGACCTATTGGGAGACACAGTTTGTTAACTGGGGGTGTGGGGATGGGAAGGAAAGCAAATAAAGAGGAAACTAGAATTCTTAACATTTAAAAACTCTCCACTGAATCCTACATATGAGTCTTACATGCTGACACATCTAGTTTTGCCCAAAAGCCACCAACACCGGAACTCTCTGGAACCAAGATGATATCCTAGGTGGCCCCAAATCAGCCAGCAGCCAGAAATGTCAACTCACATCAAGACCCTAATCCTTCAGCTTAAAAACAAAGTATTTGGGCTTCCCTGGCGGCGCAGTGGTTGAGAGTCCGCCTGCCGATGCAGGGGACGCGGGTTCGTGCCCCGGTCCGGGAAGATCCCACATGCCGCGGAGCGACTGGGCCCGTCAGCCATGGCCGCTGAGCCTGCGCGTCCGGAGCCTGTGCTCCGCAACTGGAGAGGCCGCAACAGTGAGAGGCCCGCGTACCGCAAAAAAACAAAAAACAAAAAACAAAGTACTTTAAAGCGTACTTCTTCAAAACTGTGATAAAATTTTACACCACAAATCTAAGCACAGTGATTTGCAGCTGGAATCAGGGGAGGAAACAGCTGTAGCAGCATCATTAAGAGAGTTTTTAAAATTGCACCATCCTTGCTCCTCCCTGGACATTCTTAATCAGGACTTGGTTGAGGAGGGTAAGATCAGGTCTGGAGAGTGAAGGGCAGGCATAGTTCAGTGAAAGTCCCAAGGAGATTCTGATGTTGACCTTAACCACCAGGCCAGTGCTTCAGCATTTACAAAGCAACTTCACATTTATTGTTTTACTTATGATACGGCCTATGCTGAAAGGGCAAAGCTTTGGGGAAGAAAGTCATTTTTGCAAGGCTAATGCTCCAGGAAAAATCTGACATGTAGGTGATTCCCTGAGAATAAAAAAAATACAAAGTAACTTTGTCATTGTTTCCATCTACAAAACCCAAAGGTGTTCTTTCAAAAATAGATTCCATGGGACTTCCCTGGCAGTCCAGTGGTTAAGACTTCACCTTCCAGTGCAGGGAGTGTGGGTTTGATCCCTGGTTGGGAAACTAAGATCCCACATACCTCATGGCCAAAAAGCCAAAACATAAAACAGAAGCGATACTGTAACCAATTCAATAAAGACTTAAAAAAAATAGATTCCATAATAATATTTCCTGAAATAAATAAATATAAACCTGAAAAATGAGGATGTTCAATGAGGCCTTTGAGCACAAAAATTGTAGTTTTAGTTCTAACTAAACTAAATCCAACTTCCAGATTTCTAATCTTTTACACCTTGGATTTCATTAAAACATTAATGTGAAATGCAGCTTCTGAGGATAAAGAAAAGACTTGGTAGTACTCTAGAAAAGAATAAACTGACTGGGGTAGAGGTAGTTTGTGTTTATAAAGCTAGTGGGGTTCACAACAGATAAGACGACCAAGGGCCGTAAGCTCGCCCTGGGCTCGGTCATACCTGCGAGTACTTCAGCACCTCTATGCCAGCGTTCTCCAGCTCCTCAGTGCAGTTGGAACTGATTATTGAATCAAAACTTCTGAGCACCTGTATACACAGGCAGCAAAGGGATGGGGGGTGGGAAAGAATAAAACTTCATTAAAGATACGCTACAAACCTGGGGGGGAAATTTCAGTATCAACCCCCCTCTTATGTCCTTCATTCACAGCTGCACTATGAGTGGAGGTTTTTTTCTTTTTAAATCATCTTTTAAAAATTATGGTTCTCAAGAACCCAGGGGCAGGACAGGAATAAAGACGCAGACATAGAGAATGGACTTGAGGACACGGGGAGGGGGAAGGGCGAGCTGGGACGAAGTGAGAGAGTGGCATGGACTTATACACACTAAGAAACGTAAAGTAGATAGCTAGTGGGAAGCAGCCGCATAGCACAGGGAGATCAGCTGGGTGCTTTGTGTCCACCTAGAGGGGTGGGATAGGAAGGGTGGGAGGGAGACACAAGAGGGAGGGAGATATGGGGATATATGGATACGTATAGCTGATTCACTTTGTTATACAGCAGAAACTAACACAACATTGTAAAGCAATTATACTCCAATAAAGATGTTAAAAAAAAAAGATTTAACCTAAATAAATAAATAAAAGCAGCTGTTATAAAAAAATTAAAGTATAGTTAATTTACAATGTTGTGTTAGTTTCGGGTATATAGCAACGTGATTCAGTTATACACACACACACACACACGCACACACACGCACACACACGCACACACACTCTGTCAGATTTTTTTCCATTACAGATTATTATAAGATATTGAATATAGTTCCCTGTGCTATACAGTAGGTCCTTCTTATTTATGTATTTTATATATAGTAGTGTGTATATGTTAATCCCAAACTCCTCATTTATACCCCCCGACCCTGCTATCCCCTTTGGTAACCAGAAGTTTGTTTTCTATGTCTGTGGGTCTATTTCTGATTTATAACTAAGTTCATTTGTATCATTCTTTTAGATTCCACATATAAGTTATATCATATAATGTTTGTCTTTCTCCGGTGAGTGGAGTTTTAATAAGTCTGTTTTCCGACATCACCACCAACGTCCGCATTACACCTGACTTCACCCACTCCTGTTCTAGAGTTAAATCCATAGGCAACCTTCATGCCTCTACTGTCTTTGCCATGCTCCTCACCTCCCAAGCTCTTCTCTTTTCCATAAGAATAGGGACCAGAAATTCTCTTTCCCCTTTCAGTATTCCAGGGCC